AATAGGGTTTAATTGTATACCTGTACAAATTACTTTGTAGGTGCTTTGAAAGTAGTTGTTTTCCTTCAAGGGCTTAATTAGTTACAAAACATTTACCTATAAGACACATTAACATATATGTAGAATTTAACTTTTCTTTTCGTAATGTGCAACGAACTAAAAGGCTTTTTATTTTATTAATTTATGTTTTATAGGGTTCTTTATCACAATTCTAGAAATATTGCTAGATATATTTTTATGTAAACACCCAAATTAGATCTACCCTGTACTCCATTACCTCTATTACCTTCGCTTCCTATTCATCGATCCTTATCAATATACTTTAAGTTTTCCCATCTCTAACTTCCAATGTGCGGTTTACTCCAGTTATATAAGTGAGACCAAATTATAGTTTGTAACACGTGTATGTCGAATTTGAGAACCGCGAAACCGCATCACACACGTTTATGTTATGCGGTTACTATACCTTCGGCAGAAGCAATTAAATTTAGTGCTTTTTTTCAAATAATTTTAGTAAAATAAAATCGAATAACTAAAATAACGTAACGATTTTATTTTACTAAAATTATTACATTAATTCAGTTAATGTAATTACAATGATAATATTTATCACTGTAATCAAACTGTGTATCATAGTTTCGGCACGTATTTACTGTAATTACACGAAAAGTATATTTTAAAACTTTTCTTTGAAACTCAGTTAAACAGTACAGAAGACGTTAAACAATAATTTCTTTATTAAATTTTTTGAAGAAACAAAATATAAATATATTTCTGCTATTTTCTTATGCCTATGCTTTTACGACAGTTTCTCAGACTATTTATTGGATTTGATGAATACAATACTAAATTATTTATACATATTTAGTCACGAATGTCATTTTATTTCATACTCGTACTTCAATGAAATAAAATGGCATTCGTGCTTAAGATTATAGAATAAAGAAAATAAATCGATAGGTTATTTCCCTGAATTCAAATTCAGACTTTTTTTTTACCACGATTTACGTTTACAAGCCAGTCAACTATATGTGTATGTACTTATATGTGCGCTTGACATAATATTTACATGGTTGACCATGTAAGCCATTGTTGACCATGTATGTGTTTTAAGCGTCTGGCTGGCTTGTAAAAGCAAGCCGTGGTAAAAAAAGTCTTTTAATTAAAACTTTTAATCAAATGTCCTAAACAAAGGTCTAGAATCCATTCGGGCCCTTCTAACAAGGTTTCTGAAGTATGTAATCAATTAAAATTTCCCAGACGGGTTTGCAGTAACGCAACCTTTCAGGAAAACCTTAACGTTTGTATTATTTTTAATGATCTCGAGTTAATTGATGTGAAAGGAACTAAACAACAAGCATAACTGGCGACTTCTTGATGGTACTTTTATTTTTTGTAAGCAATCGCTATAAAAAGCTACAAAAACATCTTCCAAGTTCTTTATTTTTAATGGAGGATTTCTTAAGTTTTTAAACGGGAAAATATGTATATTTTACTTTAACGCTTGACGATTTTTGTTATCCTGTATGTATCTTACAGCCACTACAAATCAATATCATATTTTGGGGAATCTGTAGTATAAGTCAGTATTAAGTACCGATAGTTGTATTGTGAGGTTAGTTAGTAGTGAATTAGGTACTTATACTCACAAAAAATAGTTATTAAGTCTGTTTTTTTTATTGAAAGTATTAATACTCCATAGGATATTGTAAAAGTAAAATCGTAGGGTTTAGTTAAAAGTATTAAATTAGGAACGGTTTCTGGATGTATCTGAAGGAGGTTACCCCTAAAGCCCCCCCAGAATTTGATCATTACGCGTCCACACCAAGAAGTAGGATGGGCAGCAAATCCACCCTCTTAGATTTGAAATCGTTATTGACATTGTGCAATACTTAGCTTAATTAAAAGAAACTTTGAAATGAATCGAAACAAGTGTAATTAAAGTAACTTGAGTGAAGAGAACTACAGAAATAATTAATGAACATCGGAACTTTTATACAAGTTTTAATTTGACTATTGTTTCGTTTAAAAATATCGCCAAATCTCAGTATTTCCTACCTTCTGAAACAGGCAGCTTCTGTAATAAATAATGTCATTATAGTCTTGTTGCACACTTGTTCTTATCAAAACTGATAAGATGCTACAACAAGTCATTGATTTACCCAAATTTATAATTTTAATTAAATGCAAAGTGTAATGGTATATCCAGATACATGGAGAAACAAGTTTTTGGAAGCAACTAAAAATACTGTGATACAAATTTGTTAAAAAAACCTCCGCCATAGTTTCATCTGCGGTTATAGTTTACTGTTAGATACATCATAATTTCGGCAACATTGTCTTGCTAATTTAGGTAAGACTATTTGTTCCTCCAGAGCCCTCAGCAAACTTCCGGTTATGCTATTCATTATTCATAGCTCCGAAAGAGTAATCTCGTAATATATTAATATGCACATTAGCAGGTGTCACATATGACATTTTACTGGATAAAGAATATTACGCATATATAAATTAATGGCTCTTAGTCTACATATGCCGAATAAATAAACAGAGACTAGAAAGCACTAGAGTTGACTTTAATTTAACGATCAATAAAATAGAGTGTCAATTAAAGTCGTTTAAGTAAACTTGTAAATGCAGTCAAGAGTTTGCTTCTTTGTAAATTCTTTGTTGACTCGAACTAGTTAATTGGAAACCACGCTTTCGAAATATCTCGACACAAAGCGCCAAATTCGCAAAACTAGACCCGAGACCTCGTACCACTACACATTAAACTCGGATGGCCAGCTCTACTGTGCGCAATGCAACCGGACTTTCAAAACGAAGTTCGGTTTTAGTAGAGCTCATCAAAGGAAGGAGTCGCCATCACAGAATACGGGCTGGATGGAATAAGTATAATAATCTTACTGTATCTAAAAAAGAAGAAACTGATAGACTGATTCACTGACTGATCGATCAAAGCACAGCTGAAACCGCTGGGTCTAGGAGCATGAAATTTTGCACAAATGTTCCTTAGGTGACGTAGGTCTGCGTGTGCACTAAGAAGTGATTTCTAAAACTTCTACCCGGTGCCACCACCACGTTGGCAATGTATAGAAAACTTCGTTATTTTTGGTAGTAGCGTTTTCAAACTCACAGTAAATACTCTTTATTAAAGTTATAGAAAATATTATAACAAATATTTCAAAACTACCCTTAAAATGTTTGTATAGGGAACTATTTTTTGTAGCTTATCGATTGGTTAAACTCTCAATATAATTACTACGATGTCTGAACTCAAGAATTACTTTAAGACAAAGAAATCAAAAAGAAAATGTTTTGTAATCGATTAATTCGATTAATCTTTAAAAATTACAGTACAGTATGAAGTACATTAACTCTGCTGATAATTCTTGTATCTGGTATTGCCATTATTTCACTGCTGGGAATGTTCCCAACAGTATAATAATTTTATTCCCAATCCTGCCGGTAACTATGTCAGCATTTTTGTTTGATGCATTATTTACAATTCGCTTTTGATAAACAAACTACAGTAATGTTCATATTTCCTATTCAAATTATAGCATGCATTTCCAGCAATATTAGCCGCAATATTAATAAAACACCATTGCTCTTATTCTCACGCGAAGAAGAAAGCAAAAGTTTTTGCTCAGATAATTTTACCTAATAAAATCGATTTATAGTCCATCTAATCTAAGAGGTACCTTTTGACAGTTCTGACAGATTGAAGAATAGGGCTGGGTCAAAGAAATCTATTTCTACAATATCCGATTGTTAAGAAATATCGATGTAGTTTCTTAGCATTTACTAATCGATTACAGTCTTACAGATTTATGTATCTTATATATTAGGTCTTTACCTATGAAATTGAAGTTTTGTATGCAATAAGTGAAAGTACTTATTTTTTCAAACTTTTTTATTTCTCTTATTCGAAGTAATCATTCACGCAATCGACGCATCTTTATGGTATGTAATCTAGTATTAACTAGATTACATACCAAAATTTCAGCTTTCTAGGACTTCAGGACCTTATGAATACAGTACCCTATGAATTTTGATGATCATCATTGAGTCAGTGATGAAATCAGGGTTGTTTAGATGTCAATAAAATCGAAAGCTTAGCTATTGAAACTGTATGTATTTAATAAGTCCACAATTGATATCATATCTCGAGAATTTCATTTATCTGGTATAATCCAAACTCAAGTTACGACGAAACGCTTCGAGATGAAGTAGTTAGGTAGCACCTTGGCGGTAGCACTACGGAGCCACCAGATTTGAAAATGGAAAACATATCTGAAATTACTGGATACAGTTACTTTTATGTTAATTTAATATGATACAGTTATAAGAAATATTGATTTTCCAAATTGCTCCGGTCGCCTGTACATGTTAAAAAAAACTGCACAGGGCGTTGCTATACACGCTCCGGTCTACCTGCTCAGGCACACCTCTCCGGTAAAACGTGCCTGAATTTTGATCTAATTTTTATTACTATAATTGACCTCCAGAGCACCATAGGCTCAACAAAGTCCGTTCCTCTAATTAGATGCGTTTCATAATTACTAACAATGCTTTATACGTATTGTAACGAGCATAAATTGCTAGACAACGCATTAACGGTACCATTATACTCGTGATTTCTACATGCATTTAAATTTCTACGTTCTTTACCTTAATATTTATATTTTTTTGACTAGCAGTCACGTCTACGATCTGTTATTTAACCATTTATTTTTGTCACGGGTCGTCACCAAAGTCAAGGTAAAGTTTTATGTCGGATTCGAACCGACTAAAACTACACAGTATTCCGTCATCAGTTATTGTAGCTCTGTTAGCTTACCAACCTAGACTGATGTTATGAACTTTATGCTCCAAATGATAGTTATCTATTTTAAATGAATACAATTAATGACTATAAATGATTCGAAGGAAATAAATATAGATTATAATAAGTACTTGGTATAAAATGTATTCTTTCGAAGTGTAAACATAACAACTTAGCCCTTGTGGTGCCAAGACTTGTGATCCTCGTGACCACCTTTCTTGCCATGTTCATGATGATCATGATGGTGCTCATGGTGTCCGTCCTCACCGTGATGACCCTTGTGATGATGGTGATGACCGCCATGTTCATGGTGTCCCTTCTTACCATGGTGGTGTTCATGGTGTCCACCATGCTTGTGTCCGTGGTGGAAGTGACCGCCCTTCTTGTGTCCACCCTCATGATGATGACCACCGTAATGTTCGTGATGGCCTTTATCACCATGATGATCATGGAAGTGCTTGACCTTTTTGAACTCGTCATGTTTCTCGATACCATGGTGTCCCTTAGTGTCATGACCTTTGTGCCAGTGACCATGTTCTTCATGACCGTGACCATGGTCGCCTTTCTCGCCGTGATGGTGATGGTGATGATACCCGTCATCGTGATGATGATGTTTCTTGTGACCTCCGTGATCTTCGTGGTCTCCCTTGTGTCCTCCGTGATGATGATGGCCTTTGTGGCCGTGATGGTGCTCATGGTGTCCTTTGTGTCCCTTATGATGTTCAGCATCGTGTCCATGGCCGTGATGTTCATGGTGGTGATGACCGCCTCCCTTGTCCCATTTTCCACTATGATGGGAAGCAGCCGTTTCAAGATCAACGTCACGTTTCTCCCGGAACTCTCTGGCAGAGCTCAAGACAACGACGGCCAGCAGACCAAGCACGATTTGACTGGTCCTCATGTTTGATGAGATATGCCACTAGCTTCGGCAGTCAAACGGTTTTATACAAGTAGCTGTTGTCTACTGGCACTTGCTCTTACTTTGTTGTCAAGGCCAAATGTTAGTTTTAGTGCTAGTCCAATATTATCAATATTAAGATTTTATTCACTCTTTCGCTGTCATAGTTTCCGGTAATTTAGTTTGTGCAATTTTGATCCGGTTTGAAAATGAGGGTGCAATTCAATTAATTATTTGTGTGTGTATAAATTGATTATTTCAAAGAGGTTTCCAAATGGAATGAAAATCCAAATTGAAGTTATTTCGACTATTTTTTCAGAGCCGATTCATGTATAGCAATGTCTGAATCACTAGCTTACCTAAACTAACTGATCACCAGACTCACAATATTGTATCCATTGTGTGTTAACGTGAAACAAATGACTATCAAATTTAAAGGTAAATAAAATGTAATCCTCAATATTTTAATCTCAAATTTCAAATAGTATGTACGAGTAGGAGTTTAACGCGCTTTAAGTTCATAATTTAGTATTTTAAAGTCCATTTCTATATAGCTTTTTATTTTTTACCAAACTTGAAAATCAAAACATTTTACAATCCCTCATTATGTGGGAGTAACTTAAAAACTAGAACTTAATATGTCTGTCGGAGCAGGTATTTTTAAACTAATTATAAATTAAGAGACAAAGTCTATCTGTCTGTCTGTAATGTCAGATTTTGTGGCTACGACTGCGGTGTGCGTTAATGTTTCTTCTATTATGTTATGAAAATATTTATTACGTATATTCTATTTTTAAATATTAATTAAAGAAAGACCTATACATTTTCAAGCAGTCTTATGGTCTTTTGTTTTCTTTCAATAATTAACTAAGAGTCCAGCGTCGTTGTGGTTTTCTTCTCACCCCTAGTTGGGGAGGGGGGGGGGGGAACTATTGGGAGCTTTGTGTTTGAGCCGCCTACGAGTGGACGGTGGTTTTTGGGGACCAAGGGATATCCTCCCTCATCAGGTTTATTTTTGGTGGCAAGTCGGTCTTGCCGGTTATCAGCGCTTGGCCACGTTACATTTAAGCCTCCATTTTTTCAGTCAACCCCTGAGTGCTTCCAGTGTCGGTCTCAATTTGCGGGCAGCGTGAATGGGGTTCCGGGAGCTGGACAGGAATGCAGCATCGTCGCCGAAGAGCGCTAGCTAGCGTCTCCGATTACAGGCATGTTGTCCGTGTAGTGGTTGTAGAGGGCTAGTGACAGGCAGCTCCCCTGCAGGACTCCTGCCAGGATGGTCCTCTCGCTGGAAGTTCCCAACAGCCACGCAGAAAGTTTTCTGGGAGAGGAATGACTTCTGTGATGATTTGATGATTCTCCGCAGCAGGGAGTCCAGCGAGTTCGTTTTATTGCTTTTATAGTGAAACCGCCATAAGCTTGGCCCTCCCGATGGTTTGCGGAACGCAACCAATTAGCTAGTGTTTCGCTGTCTGACTTGAAAGCATGGTTATACGTGTCCTTTTTCTTAAGGCTACACACGGTATTATTTTGCAACATGGATAATCTGCCGACTTAGCGTCACAAAAAGATTTAAGAACATTTGGATTAATTTTCATTTTTTTAATAAACGTTACCTTTTGTTCTTTATTTTAAGTTACTTGATTAATATACAGTAGAAGTTGCCGATTATGCGTGTAGTGACGGAAGAATTAGGAGTCTCACCACCCCTATTCACCTCGTGGGTGTCGTAAGAGTCGACTAAGGGAGCAAACTACGCTGGACAACAGCACTACTAAGAGAAGAAAAACTTGAAACAAAACCTATAAGTACCAACCCTAAAAATTAGGCCTACCAAAGAGTACTCTGTTAACAATATGCAAACTCGAGACAAATTGAAAATGGTCAAAGAAAGAATCTAAACCTTTACAAGTAGAATATTTTCTTCCAATCCGCCTAAAACGAATACCTCCGTAAGTCTAAAACTCTATAACTTGAATTATTTGGCGTCTCCCTTGAAGATCGGCATACAGCGTTTCTACTGTTTAAAGTTCTAAAAAAGCATATTTATTATTTTACTTCATTATTAAATTCTATTTGAATATAATTTACAGGATAAAGATAAGGTGATTTTATTATTAAGTCATTTAACAAGTATCAAAATTTTACAATTAATCATAAAAACTTACAATATGTACTGAAATTATAATAAATTAGATTTTTATTCCACTGTGTGTAGATTAAATCTCAAACAAATAAATCTGAAGATATCGAGGTCGGGACATCGTGTCGTGTATAGCTGAGCGCATCACCCGTCCCGCGTCCCACAAACCATCGGGAGAGCCAAACTTACGTCGGTTTGACTATAAGTGCCCATATAGTTCAAACTCGAAAATTTCTGATTTTTTGGAGCACAAAAAAACCGATTTGCTCCTTCCGCGCGACGCAGCATCGGGCTCTCACTGCAGTCATCTGAGAGGATCCCCCGCGACCGGCCGTAATTCACTCCATGGCCGGTAGCGACAGGTGTTTTAGAGCGGTTGCATCCTTCTGCGTAGACGTCATCTCGCAGAAGAAAGCGCCGACGTCCGGGTGTGCCGGACGCCGCCTGAATAGAAAATTCACCGAAAGGATTACCTTTACCCAAGCGCCTGCCCGCAAAGTGAGGGCAAGCGCCACGGTCACGGCGCAAACCTGGTGAGGTGACGACCCGCGGGGGTTTCCACGCGGTAAAAAAAAGGGCTTCATTGATCCTCACGGTGGTTACACAAGATTTTTAGTGCTCCAATAATTTTAATATTTACCAGACCATATGATGATATTCATCATCATTATCATCAGCTTTTAATAGTCCACTGCTGGACATATGTAGGCCTCTCCTTAGAAAGGATGTTTTGGCCAACTATACCACGCTGACCTGGGCTGGGTTGGTACAGAGTTTTTGTCAAGTTTTCCTTCTCTTAGTAGTACCTACTGTTTTCCTGCATAGTTGGGTCCCTTAGTCGGCTCTTACGATATCCACTTGATGAACTAGGTGTAACGGGTGTGTGAACAATGTATTCTTAATCCGTCATCACACGGAACCTAACATATTGTAAATAGTTAAAATTAAAATGTTCAAGATTAGATCCCATATTTTAGTTTTTACTACTACGCTACTTTTTACTATGGGAACCGTGATCAGCTATCACCAAAAATATTTGGAAATAAAAGTTTTATATAAATAGTAGCTGACCCGGCAAACGCTGTTTTGGCATATAAATTATTTCTAGTGAACTTATTGCAAGTATGTGGGGGTCTATAGGCATAGGGTCTATGACTGAAAGAGGAATGGCCGACAACGGCCTATAAAAATAAGAAAACCTATCTATTCATTTTCTTATTTCAATGTACTTTATAAACTTGACTGACGTATTTACAATAAAAATTTAAAAAAAATCTAGGAAGTGTCACCCTTACCAACTAGGGGTATAAAAAATTGCTTACGACCTTAATTTCGGCAATTATCATAAAAAATCTTAAAGTCAAATATCTTGAAAATGGTTATTTTTGGGATACGGTATTTCATAGATAAATCTATCAGAAATGACGGCAACTACAACCCTTTAGAGTATTTAGGTCGACTTACACAGTAACCCTGCCTTTTAGATGTACTTACTTTTCTGTTTTTTATCGCATTTCCCACAATAATATAGTTCGTTTAATTTACACACATTATTTAGGTATCATTGATTTTGTGCAAATACCCGTGACCCAGCAGAAAAACGTCTTTTTATTTGCACATGCTATCATCAGGTGTCCTGATGATAGCATGTGCAAATAAAAAAGTATTTATGTACTTTTTAATAATTATATATCACAATAATAATAAAATATGACAATAATAATAAAAGTTATTGTCTCCAGAATAAATAAATATAGAAAGAGAAAGCAGCTCAGTACCATTATTTTTCTTCCGACTATTATTTTTTAATTTAGCCACTAAATTAATATTAAAGAGAGTACTGCTGTTCATAAAATATTTTTATACAGGTTTTTCTTTTTCTTTGAGGGTTTTTTATACTTCTTTTTCTGTGAAGTGCTCTATTAAAATGCTACAACAAATATTTTGTACAAAGTTTATTTCTTCGAAATGTAAACATAACAAACATACACGTTAATAATATATCAACAACACGTAACAATTCAGATTCAGTGAACAACAACTTAGCCCTTGTGGTGCCAAGACTTGTGGTCCTCGTGACCACCTTTCTTGCCATGTTCATGATGATCATGATGGTGTTCATGATGCCCGCCCTCACCGTGGTGACCCTTGTGGTGATGGTGGTGTCCGCCATGTTCATGGTGTCCCTTCTTACCATGGTGGTGTTCATGGTGTCCACCATGCTTGTGGCCTTTGTGGAAGTGACCGCCCTTCTTGTGTCCGCCCTCATGATGATGACCGCCATAATGTTCGTGATGGCCTTTATCACCATGATGATCATGGAAGTGCTTGTCCTTTTTGAACTCATCATGTTTCTCGATACCGTGATGTCCCTTCGTGTCATGACCTTTGTGCCAGTGACCATGTTCTTCATGACCGTGACCGTGGTCGCCTTTCTCGCCGTGATGGTGATGATGATGATACCCGTCATCGTGATGATGATGTTTCTTGTGACCGCCGTGTTCACCGTGATGTCCCTTGTGTCCTTCGTGATGATGGTGGCCGTGTTTACCGTGATGGTGCTCATGGTGTCCTTTGTGTCCCTTATGATGTTCACCGCCGTGGTCATGGTGATGGTGCTCATGGTGCTCATGGCCGCCTCCCTTATCCCACTTACCTCCGTGATGGGAAGCGGCGGTTTCGAGATCTGCTTCCCGCTTTTCCCGAAGCTCCCTAGCGGAGCTCAGGGCAGCTAAGGCCAAGAGGCCAAATGCCACAAGGAGAATATTTCTCATGGTTGATTACGCTTGTTGTTGTTGAATGATATCTGATTTTCGATACCAATGATTTTATATACCGACCATTGGCGACTGTTAGGTAAGCGTAGTGTCAAGGTTGTTTGTACTAACGACTGAGATTTCCACTTCCTTCCAGGTCGGAGATTATCATTCTGTAGTGAAAACAACAACAACTTTTTAATAATCGAAGTCCAAGTTTAATTTCAAAAATAGTACATACATTTGTGAGTTTTATTTGTTACATCTATATTCCATTTTTTGATGCAGTATATTGAATTGATCATCGATATACTTTCACACGGTTGCAGTTTATAATTTATATTACCAGGTTAGACTGAAGTAGTAATAGTCCCAAAATTTTACATTTTGATCAATATTAGATGAATCTTAATTAAATTGAACAAAAAAAAAACAATTCTGAATACTTATGCGTCATAATAATAGCTTAACATAATTTGTGCAATAGCACTTGATAACTATAATTTAAGTACCTTGTATGTCGTTGTGTAAATATTTTCAGAAATCAAACTATGCCCGAATAACCTTGATTGCACGTATAGCGACTACGCTACAAACACAAAAAACGATAATTATTATATTATTATTTATTATAATTATTAAACGATAATTATTATTATTATTATTTTTTTTTTTTTTTTTTTATCGGTTATTTTTCGGTTTACAATGAGTGTTGTAGGTTCGATTCCCACATGGGACAAAACTTTGATTTGATCCACTAATTATTATTCTAAGTCTGGGTGTTCTTTGTGTTTGTTTCATGTATATTTGTTAAGTCCCCGCGAGACAATACATGTATCTTTTATATAAGGACCTTGACCTTTACGTGAAGTTAACGGAACAACCTGTATTAGATGGACTTCATGTGTCCTTGTTCTTAACAATGAACCTAATACGCTTTAGCCCCATTAATAAAAACGCTAATTTTTTACCGGTAGTAATCTGTTTATCATAAGAATAACTTCACACATCTCAGACGGCAGTCCGATCCCAAACTAAGCAGAGTCTGTGCCATGGTAACCAGACTGCTGAAAAACATACTTATAAATTTCTAAATACATACATATTACAGATAAATTACACCCGGATAAAGAAAAAATGATCGTGCTCATTGCACAATATTTGTCCTGGGTGGGAATCAAACCCATGGCCTACGGCTTAGCAGTTAGGATCACACACAGACCACCGTGCCTGTGGTACGGTAAGCTTACCCCTCCTTTTTTTTTTCTCCGTGCGGAAATCCCCTCGGATACCACCTATCGGTAGCATGTCGGACTCGAACCGACTAAAACCGCACGCCGTCTTGGGTCCTAATAGCCGGGGAACCAGGTATACCCTAGAAAGGAAGTCCCTGGTGCCCCGACATACCTCGGGTCATCTACAGACGAGTAGACGACCCCCCCCCCCCCCCGCGGTAAGCTTACCCCTGGCGAAACACGCAACTTACCGTACCTATCTATATATTATTCGGATCCTCGGTGTTGAGACCGACAAGGACATGACGATCGATTGACGTTAAGTGACGCTTAGCTTCGTACTTACTAAGAAAAGCTTCCTTTGCAAGCAAAAATACGTACCTATATCATTTAATGCAGAAAAAATAGGTTATTTATCGTGTTTTATAAGAAACCGTATATTAAAATTGACTCCGGTTTTTCTATTTTGATTTGTACATACATGCATATTATAAATAGAAATACTCGTACCATGTCGAAACGACCTATTCATATTTGCAAAGATTTGCATTTAGCGAGAATCACCTCCGAGACCGTCAAATGCTCGTAAAACAGAGATATTCGAGAAAGAAACAGAAAGAAGAATGTAATCCTTATTTAAAATCGGTTAAGCTACAATCCATCAGCTTGGCCTACTACCTGTTTAGGGACTTAACAAATATTTTGAAACATTATTGAGAACACAAGTTGTTTTCTGAATAATGTTTCAAAATATTTGTGGTTATAACCACAAAAAAAGTAAGTGGCACGAATTTTTGATAAGGTAGATCATGTGATTTTTTTTAAAACATAGTGTTATGATCTCTCATAAGTTACTTCACTGAGTCAAGTAAACATTGTCAACTGTTTTTCCCTGGTGTGTTTGCTAAAGAGATTAAAGTATTTATTAAGTTATTTTTGTGTTTTTTCGTTGTGTTTTTATGTTTTTAAGTTTTATAAGTAAGCTTTGTGTTATTATAACTGTACTAGCTATTGCCAGCGGTATCACTCGCATCTTCATTTCTTATTTCGTTCCATACAGCCGTTTATCCCTTACTTTACTATCTTAGCGGATTTTTTTTTAAATCCTTTCCTTTATTGTATATTATAAAAATATAAATATAAATTTTAAGTTCTGGTTGTAGGCTCTGCGTTTAGCAATCAGTCAGTCAGGCAAGCAATTTTAAATGTATTGTTATTAAGTTTATTTGAAATATTCATAATATTTTAACATGCACTTTTTAGATATTTTATTGACATAAACTGCCAAAACAAATATCATATATCGTACTCAGGGGGTGGGGACGATGATCTGTATTATATATATACTCGTATATGTATTTGGCTATCTTAGATACAGGTGTGTCACACACACAGGCACCTCGGTATGGTCGGCGGTACGTTTCCGCCGTCATCCAAAGTCGAGCTGGACGCAAAGAGTTCGCCTAGGAGATCGGCTTCCTTGGCATTATAGGCCCACGAATCATCGCCCATCTGCAGGGGTGGAAGGGATTGGCTAAGAAATTCTTCTGGACTGCCTTGGTAAGAGACAAGAATGCACGAGCTCCATAAGAAAGTCTCACCAGTCTCTCACCAATCCGGCTAATGTGCTCCGATTTCGCCCTGGCATTGTCCCTTTTGAGGGATCTGGAGGCAAAGTTGTATTGCTTTTTAGCGTACTGGTGTTTACATCACCTTTCGTCGCTGCATTAGCCCATGCTTGGTAACATTCCTGCTTTCGGCAAAATTACAGCAAGTTTGCAATTACGCAAACTAATTAAATTTGCTAAATTAATTAGTTAAGTAAATTTACAAGGTTTCTTATGCGTAGCAAGGTGTGTACTACATGATTGATTATAAAGTCAAAAAGGTTAAAAAGATTTTCGCTGATAAATATCTTCACCTTTAGACAATTAGTATTAGGTATGTTACAAACATATAAATGTACAAAACTACGAGGTGCTTGATTATTAAACTAAATGCTCTAAGCTTCTTAGAGTTAAAAGGCTTCTAATATTTTATTTCATTTTTTATTTTATTAGGGAAACAAACAGATACAAATTAAACCAAAATAAATATACAGGTAATCTAAACACAATCCAAACCAGTTTCCACATATAAATATACATACAATAGCGCTACAAACATTATAAACTTAAAAACTAAAATTTACAAATGCACCGTAAGAACACATATGCACATCTCAACAAGAAAAAAGAACAATTCAAAAGCAGTAAAAACATTTTAAAAACATTTTAGAAAAGACACAATATATAGTAATTCTACAGATAGTACCTTTAGTTATTTCAGTTATTACTAGGAGGAACAAGACAGTCATGGACAGATTTCTTAAATTTGGGTAAAGAAAAATGGAACATATCTACGGAATCATCATTATGCAAATTAACGAGACTATTAAATGAACGGCAAGATCTCAATATAAAGGCATTCTGCCTATAATTCGTTTTAGCAAGCGACACAGAAAATAATTGTTTTTTACGTGCATTGATACGCGGGTAATTAAAACCAACTTTGCTTAAGAGCTAAGATGAGTCGACTTGATTCCTAATAATTTTAAACAAGAATATCAGGTCGCGTTCGTTTCGTCGCGTCCCAAGTGATGGCAAATCTAATGTACTAGACTTATAATGAATTTACGTATAAATTTTATAAAAAATCTGAAGTAGTTTGTTTGACTAAGGCAATTTTAAGAGGTATTCTTTTAGCGCTAAACGAAGTGTTTTCTATAAATTTATCAGTCTCCTGTTATGGCAGCTTCAGTCGTGTCGTGTCACCTTGACAATCCTTCCAGAATGTTACGGATTCTAATCCTTTGAAATCTTTAAAACAAATTCATTAGGAAAGAAGGAGCACAATGAATTCAAAATCAAGCAAGTGATTTTTGTTGTAAATTAAGAATTTTAAAGGAAGTTCAATTTGAAAGTCCTAGATAGTCCAGAAATGTCCTAAACCTTATTTCACCTCTAAGGGAGTAAAATAATCCCGGGATATGCGACTGTATGGAACGAAATAAAAATAATTATAGTCTATTGACTATTATTATGTACCTGGCTGTAGCATTTTCAAATCGTTTTATGACATTTTGTTTGTGTGTATTTCTGTATAGTGTATATAGTAATAATAGTGAGTCTTCATACGGTATAAGTTGATTATCGGCCCCAGTATGTGACGCTATAATCAGGTTCTGGATTTTTTTTGGACCGAAGTGTTACAGTTCGGAAATAGGATTCTTATTATTTTAATATTTTCATTTATCTACACCGCAATTAAATTTTGGTCACCATTTTACAAAGAGCGTCAGTTTTTAAAATAAACCCGAAAGTACTATATTGCGCTACGCAGTACACTACATTTCAGAGGGATAAAAAATTTATAAAAATTGGTGAAGCCGTTTTAGCGGGAATAAGTAACAAACACACACGCCTTTATAATATTAATGTGAAAAGCGAAATTAATTCCTACTAGATCACACAATGTCTATTCTTTCATTAAGTAAACTTCATTAGATGCGAAAAAAATATTACGAGCCCTAAAAAAGTAAACAGACGGAACGATGGCCGGTATAGATATCAATACACTTTATGGAATGATAGCAATGTGAGGGGTTATAGATAGGAATGTCATTATCTTTCCGACCCCTGACGATCTGAACGGACTGAGAGAGGAATTCTTGCGAACAGGCATGCGCAAAATGAATCTGTAGTGTCGTCGTACAATATTAGTTTTATATTTAGCGTAATAAGAGTTTTAATATGTATAGAAAATGGAATGTTTTATAATTTTTTGTTGATTTGTTCAGAATTACTTTTGTTGTAAATAGCCAAGTGCAAATTTAAAACCACAATAACCTAAACAGGCAGGCTCGACGGACGCTGTCCTATCAAAACTGTAATTATTTTTACTTTAATTATCTCCATATTACAGGTAAATTACACAATTTTCCAAGAAAATTTTTCCTCACCTCTCAGCAAGCAAGTTGTTATCCCCTATTTCCAAAAATAAAAAAGAAGTCACGTCGTCAGTTTCGTCTTTTTTTAACATGCACTTACCAACAAACATATATTTTATAAATTCATACGTTTCACACTATATTTTTTTAAATTACAATTAACTGTTCCACATTTCTAAAATTTTGTAACTGAATTAAATTCCGATAAAATGTAATTAAAATAAACGTATATTCCAGAAGTAATTTATAACAGTTCCACATCTTTGAAATTTGGTAACTGAGTGATCTAAAATCTAAACATTGACACCTACAACTATAGAGTCACATCGTCGTCCTTTGAGTCTTTCCCCTCAAAGTCAGTTGAGGTTGGTCTTCGGTAACCTCACGCACTTAGTGAAAAGCGAAAAAATATTTGATTAACACCTGTTTTCTGTGAGGCCACGATTATCACTGCGGTTGAAAACATGGCTCAAAAAGTATTAAAAAAATATTCAGAATTTACTTGGTCGTATAGTAAAAAATTATTTTTTTTATTGTAAATGAGCATTCTCAATTTTTTTAAATCTATATCTATTACTCATCACGAGAAAACTGTTAAAAAATTGCACTATTGCACTTGGTTAAATATAAAGCTACATTTTTAGTTTTTTTTAGTAGTCCTAATGTTTCATTTTTAGTTTGAAAATTTATATATAGTGCTGCTGAAATCTTACAGTAATTTTTTTATTTTTTTAAATATTTCAGGATAACAAGTTTTAACTAAGTAATTTTATACATATAAGTATTTTATAATATTAAGTAAATAAAAAAAGTCTATTTAAGAAGGCAAATCAATTTAATTTGTACTTTTTGTGTAACAAGACTGGAAATTGTTACATATAGTCCACTAGCTAGTTAAAGATATGTATGTTAGAATTCTTCTCGAAATGAGGTGGTATGCTGTGTGTAAACTGGATTAGGTATTCAGTGGGGATTTTACCACCGACGTTTCTCGAGAGCGTTGCGTTGTTAGCTTTATAAAAACGGTGTAAAGCCAGTTTTCAAAAAAAAACTGCTTTAAACTGGTATGTTGCATAGTACAAAAATACTATAACAATCAATGTACAAGAGAATTCATAATTTAAGGTACCTGCATTTTATTTTTTATTTTGTAGAGCTTTTTTTTATTGAAAAATGATGTTGTAAATAATGAAGAGGAAAAATTAGATTAATAGTACAGGGTGGCGCAATAGAACGTGCATATTGCATCATCTTTTTTCGCGGGGTAGAAAGTGCGCGGGCGGGGGGAGCCTGCATCGTTGGGTAGGCGGGCTCATGGAATTTTAGTCACTATGAGTCACTTCGACGGGAAGCGTCGCGCATTTTGCGTGCGCGCATTTTACGAGAACTCTCGTTCATACATCGTTACTAGGCGTTTATATTGTTCTGAATATGGACTACGGCAAATTAGTAAAGCTCCGAGTGCTAATTTAATTAAAATATGGGTACAGCGTTTTGAAGAGACTGGTTCAACGTTTAAACCACAAGCAAAAGGTTGTCCAAGAACATCTAGGACCGACGACAATATTGAGAGAGTTATGCAGTCTGTACGAGGAGATCCACAAATGTCTACTCGTAAGAGATCGTCTGTCTTACACTTATCGCGACGAAGTTTGCAACGAATTTTAAACTTGGATCTTAAACTGCATCCTTACAAGCTGCAGTTAACACAAGAATTGAAAGAGTCTGACTTCGGAGCAAGGCTCGCATTTGCTAATGAAATGCTTAATCGATTTTCCAATTTTGACAATATCCTTTTCTCAGATGAGGCCCACTTCCATATCAATGGGTTCGTAAACCGTCAAAATTGTCGTTACTGGAACAGTGAGAATCCCAAACTCAAGCACCAGAAACCACTGCATAGTCCTAAAGTGACAGTATGGGCAGCAATCTCTGGTAGAGGAATAATTGGACCGTTTTTCTTTGAAAATGCGCGGGGGCAAAACGTCACTGTTAATACCGAACGCTATGTTGCGATGTTGGAAGGTTTTTTGGCTCCAGAGCTTGAAAATTCAAGAATAGTGAATTCTAGGACTTGGTTTCAACAAGACGGAGCTACCTGTCACACATCAAATGACTCCATGGCGGTTGTGAAACAGATGTTCCCTGGCAGACTGATTTCGAAAAGAGGTGATATCCCATGGCCCCCACGTAGTCCAGACGTGACGCCTCCTGACTTTTTTTTGTGGGGATACCTCAAGAACAAAGTCTACAGTAATAATCCGAAAAACAACGATCAGCTCAAGGAGAATATCCGTGGTGAAATGGCAGCAATTACACCAGCATTACTGAAGAAAGTTTTCAATAACTTCCGTTTGCGATTAGAGGAGTGTCGTCGTAGAGAGGGTCATCATTTAGACGATGTTATTTTTAAAAAATAAACTTCAGTTATTTCTTAATAATACCTCAGTTTTATTTTAACTATACCTTTTGTATTTATTTTCTAATCAATATTTTAAATATGCACGTTCTATTGCGCCACCCTGTATATTAAGATTTATAATTAGAAATTTTACTTGGAAATTTGTACTAAAATCCTACATCGGTAAAATATTTTATTTCTCATTTGAAATGCTGTAATGATGACTTCCTTTGTGAAAATGTAAATCTAATGAAAATTAAAGCGGCAATAATCTCTGTTTACTGTTACGTAGCCGAGAAGGGTTAATTAGTAAAGGTAAACTCTAAAAAACGTTAACTTACCTACCTGTCTCTTGTTTTTAATTGTAATTAGAATATTTTATGTAATTAATATATTACAAGCTTCTTGAAATAAATATATTTATTAGTGTATCACAAAGTTTTAACAATAACAAAAAATAGCATCATTTTATATTCCTCAGATCATCAAATCATTTATGACCTTTATGCCATCCCCAGCCTTTGTGTCCTTCATGACCACCTTTGCTGCCATGTCCTTCATCGTGACCCCAGTACTCTTCACCGGCACCTTCATCGTGATGTCCTTTATGTTGGCTGTGATGTCCACCCTTTTCAAAGAAGCCCTTTTTTCCGTACTCGTGTTCATTGAATCCACCGTCTTTGTGTCCTTTGTCGAAGTGACCGCCCTCTTTGTAGCCTCCTTCGTGGTGATGACCACCATACCCTTCTTCGAAACCGGATTCACCATGTTTGTCATGGAAGTGTTTGTCCTTTTTGAACTCGTCTATTTTGTGGATACCATGATGACCTTTAGTGGAATGACCTTTATGAAAATACCCCTTTTCTTCGAATCCATGTCCTTTTTCACCTTTCTCCCCTTGGTGGTGCTCATCATAGTAGCCGTCGTCATGGTGATGGTGCTTCTTGTGGCCACCGTGGTCATCGTAGTGGCCTTTATGACCTTCGTGGTCCGAGTGGCCTTTTTCGCCATGTTCATGACTGTGATATCCTTTGTATCCTTTTTCTCCATGTCCACCATGCTCGGAGTGATGATCCAAGTGGTGTTCACCACCGTCACCTTTCTCCCAACCGTGAGAGGCGGCTGCTACAAGGTCGATATCTCTTCTTTGGCGTATTTCTCTGCCACGTACAGACACGGCCAGCACCACCATTGAAACTGCGATGAAAGCTCTCATCCTGTTCGATGTTGTCCCGGTTCTGGGTTGGTTCTGTTGAGCAATGATTGCTAAATGATGCCTGTTACAGATTTATATCAGTTTATATAGTATTGCAAATAATAGTGTACTTGTAGCTTTTAATGTCAGGGCAAAGAATGACGGTCACAGGTACGCTAGTGACCTGAATTGTTTTTTTTTAAGTATAGACTAACACGTACGTACCAATGCTACATAATGTTTGGGCAATCTTATTGTATAATTTAATAAAGGAGTTTGTCTGCGCAAAATGGAAAGGAGGTGAAACTGAAATAGTGTAAGTAGTTTTTCGAGTAATCACGGACTTGTATAAAGGTAGCTAATGTATCAATGGTCATAAGAATGACTACTTTTTATTAATTTATCATAAGACAATGGTAATTGTCCACTTAAATAATTAATAACATAACCTCTGTAAAAACTAACTCGGTTACTACATGAATTCTTATAAATAACTAAAGAATACACAATTACAACATCAAAATCAATTTTTTTTTTCATCTATATTATTCATCTATATACATATGTTCGTTTTTATCTATTTTTCTCATCAATTTTGATGAGAAATTCATTTCCAGAAAATATTAGATTTTAGATATTGGAAATTCTTGACTAACTTTGAAAAAAACTACTGACTTCATTGCACCTACATCTTGAAACCTTGTAATAAGTATTTTTATTACATTTAATTTAGCATCTTTAGAAGCAGTATACTTTTCTTAAGTGTTACTGGTAAGTGGATTTTCACCAGTTCAATTAAAAAAGAATAGGTAATTCGATATCAGTGCAGTGCAGTATAGCGAATAACATACACATGAAAAACATCCAGTCGAATGAAAAACCTTTTCCGTAAAAAAAACCGTATACATCATAAAAAACATCATACCAATAACAACCATACATCATAAAAAACATCCAAACTCCGAAACAAGTATTTGCAGATCATAAAATTTGGTCCGACCCGGGAATCGAATCCGAGACCTCAGCACAGCAGTCACATACGCTACCACTGTACCACCGAGGCAGTCGTATTATTATATTGACATATCTTAAAGCGTTAGATTTTTTTTCTGGTAAAGTAGGTCAAACGAGCAGAAGGGTCCAAGGCCGCTTCCAAAGACACTTGGAACTCAGTAGTCACAAGTGCGTTACCGCCTCTTGAGTACCATCGAGAATCAGGGTGAGGGAGAGGAGTTTGGGCTCTTTTAACCTCACTGACTGGGTGAAAAGCAACGAAGGAATTGCTTGAAATTGGTTTTCTGTGAGATCATGGTATCACTCCAGTCTTGGTATCAGTCAAACCATTTGTGCCCTTCGGAACTCATAGATACGAAGCTGAGCAAAGTCTTAAAAAAAAATCGTAAGGAAAGAGGTGAACCATCTACTACGGACGAAGGAAATAAGGCGGCAATTTTTAGAATTTGCAAAATTACAATAACTTAAAATCAGTAAAAAGAATGCTTTGTTTCTTTTTACTGAACTTGAACTTTTAATCAAACAAACAAAGGCTCTTGTAATGCAAGAGGTCGACAGTCAAAAACAAAAAAAAAAAACATTTGTGCCAAAGCATGGCTCTCCCACGGTGATTTTCTTTTTTTGCATCGACTATCGGTCGAATTTCAACAATTTTGAATGACTTGTTTTATTTAGTTGACTAGTGTAATTGAACAGGTCAAAATATATACTGAAGCCCCATAAATATTCTTCTTAGTCGGACACTCTTGCTGGGCTGACTTTTTAAACATTTAGTACGCATTTTTAAAAATTGTACTTATATATAGTTGAAACACACATACAGTCAATATTTACTCATATTTAAAGTTAGTTAGCATATAGACATTAAGTAGGTATTATAAATATGCGACATATTTGTTTTGTGGTATTTTCTTCGCGTGTTAATAATATAGATACTGTGTTAATAATATATGTTAACATGAGTATTTATTTTAGTTGTCAAATATTAAAATAATAAAAATAATATAAAAATATTAAAATTATGATAAGAAAGCTTTAAGCAAAATAAACTCTAAACAAAGTATACAATAGTCATGGATATAAATGAATACTCAGTAAATAACAATAGTACTGGAGACTCGGGAAATCTATCGTCTGTTCTACATTGGCTACAAAAGACTTACACCTATGTGGGTTAAAGAGAAATATTGTTTAATGAAAGAAAGTGTGTAAATAAAAGAGGAACTATGTAATAAAATAACATGGCACACATATTTTAAATATACCCAATCTATATTTAAAATATTGACAACGCCTTTTTTCCAATTACTTATAATAAATAAATTTTATTCATTACATACTTTTACGAAAAGCGCATTACCTGTAACTGTAAATATTAATAACCAGAGTGAGCTATGTATTCAACTATAAATTTAACTAGGTTTCAATACACAGTAGATATACAAATAACGACCGATACTCGAAAATTGCGTAGTTAATAGCAAACGTATTTATCAACGTTTGCGTTTACACTACTCGTACAATGTTCAACTATTTGTTTAAAAATTCCATATGAAAATGCTTGAAATGCATACACACACATAGTTTATAAGTATCCGATAAAGTATAAAAGTATCTGAAATATATCCATGTTATATTAAGCATTACTGATAAGGTTTAAGTATATTCAAACTTTTTTTTTTTTGTTTTCTGTGCGGAAATCCCCTCGGATACCACTAACCGGTGGCAATGTCGGACTCGAACCGACTACGTATCGTGTACCCTAGAAAGGAAATCCCTGGTGCCCCGACGTACCTCGGGCCATCTACGGCGGGTAGACGACCCCCCCTGTGTGGGAACCCCCATGCTCCCTCTGTGCTCCCGGAAGGGCGCGCACGCTTCGCAACGCGCTTCCCGCCACCCCGGCCTGCTTCTGCTAGGGTGACAGATGGCCTCACCTGTCACTCCCAGGCCTGAGCTTATGGAGGCCGGAGGTCGTTCTGCGACCTCCGGCGCCTGAGTCGTCTGCGGTACCTGGCCCGTTCCCGAGTTCTAAACCTCTCCCGCTTCCGCTCCACCATCTCCTTCGCTAGCATAACTTGCTCGCGGAAGGAGACGGAAGAGTTCCACGCACTCTCGCTCCGCACGATAGCCGCAATCTGGTTATCGAGTGAGAGAACTCCCACTCCGAAGTATATTCATACTGATGTTATAAATGCGAAAGTGAATTTATTTGTTTGTTACGCTTTCAAGCCTAAACGACTAAGCCGATTTTATAAATTCGTTCGCATATGGAAAGATACATTATCGGCGAGTAACATAGGCCATACCGCGATAATTTTCAAAAGGCTGACCCATAGGCAAAAGCTAGTATAGAATACATCTAAGTAAGTAGTAATCTTTCCACTCATTAGATGACACTTATTTCTTACAAAAACAGGAACCAAAAAGTATTCAATCTTCTTTGTTTTCGAGAAGTATAAAAACTGTTTGTTTTTTTTATTTATAGAAGACTCTTTTAAAAAAAACCGTTACTTAGGAAACATCACACTACGCTAACATCTATAGGATCGGCGCAGTAACAATAAATGTTTACCAATCTCATTAACCAGCCAGCTGAAAATATGTATAATCGGTTCGTCTATACACTTACCTAATGATAAAATTAACAAATGTCTAAAATTGCAGTTACTACAGAAATAAATTAGAATTCTATTATCCTAATCAAGTAGTTAACAATGACTACAACAAATAGTGTCGTATTATTGAGGCAGTGTGTTAAGTTTGTATAGCAGTAGCACAACAGTTGAATAAAATACCGTTAAGTTCCGATTTTGATCCAGATCTTAATGTGTCTGATTGTTTTTTGGGGTTAAAATAGACGGAATATGTACCTGAATTATGTTATTACACGAAATTTGTTTTCAAGTTTACTTATTGTTTTTTTTTTAACTATTACGCTAAGAATAATTAAGACTATCCAAAAGAATGAAACTTGGCGTGATTCCCAAATAGTTGACTTCCGGACCAATATTTGTAGATCGAGTTATTGGTCCATCTGTGAGTCTAACCAACACTATGCACACATTCTAAACAACATATTATAATAATAATAATAATAATAATCATTTTATTGGAGTAACCATGACTCATTGCTTGTTAGTAATACATAAAACTTATCCTATGTTAGTAGTGACAATTTACAATATTAATATTTTTATTTATGCACTCCATGAGAGACGGCGCTGCAGTGACCAATGTACCTGCAATCTAACCTCTCTGTGATCATGGCTAGTATGCTGTTAGAGCTAGCCCGCACCCTGCGCACCAAAGGCTGCACGTATAGAAAGACGTGCAGTAAGCTCTGAAGAGTGTGATCTTAACATTATTCGAACAATGTGTAAACCTGCGGCTCAACATGTTCGCTCTCACCGACAACGCCCTCCGTTCCCTTTCCAGATCCTCATCGTCTTTGAGGCTAGGAGTTAAAATATGCCCTAGATATCGAAACTTAAATACCCTTTTCAATGGATGCCCATTTAAAAGTATCTGTGGCACATCCTTAGGGCTTCCACCCTTAGCCTCAAAAACCATGACCTCGCTTTTCTTAACATTGTACACCAGGCCATGTCTTTCGGCGTACTTCTCACATATGTGAACAAGCCTTCGCAGGCCACATGGCGACGCACTTAGCAGCGCCATGTCGTCTGCGTAGCTGACATTGTTTATACAAATGTCATCAATATGACATCCGACTTTTGCACTACTAAGTTCACCGATCAGCTCGTTAACGTACAGGTTGAAAAGCGTTGGTGAGGTCAAGCCCCCTTGTCTCACCCCGCATTCCAACCCATACGGATGCGATAAAGTACCTGCCCAGCGGACATTATTAATTGTATTACCATACCAGTATTTAATTGTGTTTATCATTGGAGTCGGTAATTCACATTTTTCCAACTTCTTCCATAAAATATCGTACGAAACCAAGTCAAATGCCTTAGACAGGTCGAGAAAACAGCAATACACTG